CAAGAAAAAGCAAATTCATTATTTACAACACTACCACAAATAAAGAAAAAATGTTCTCCCATAGTCACCTGTTCAGAGCTTGTATATTATACATAATAAAGAGACAAATCATTTGGAAACAGGACAGCGTAGTACAGTAATTTCTAACAGTTTAGAGCAGTTGTTTAATTGTTTCATATATGTAAAACCAAGAAATTGGCACTAACATATTTGTAATTTTTTCATTAACACAAAAATACTGCATTAAAAACAATGGTATAGAAACACACAAAGGCATTTCAGTTAAGGCTTCTACAGATACTGCATGTTCTGTAATTAAACATCTATTTTGTAAACTTGTTCTAGAACTTTCCAAGTAACTAAACAAAAAAGCTCAGTTCAACTCATATTCCATTGTGAGGCTTAATGGAATGAAAAGTATTTTGTAAAACAGATAATAAGCCATCAAATTGTTCATTAAGTGTGATTTTAACTGGCAAATGTCAAACCTCATTAATTCAAGTATGCATATACTTAAACCCTCCCAAAAATATAAGCTGGAAAGGCAAGTCCGGTTTGAAATATTGATCCCATTAAGCATCTAAACAAACTACTGTGTTTCACAATGAGAATGAATCTGGCTCTTGGCTGGCATCACTTTGTCCAAGGGATACTTGGGAGGCCAATACCTAGTAATAATATCAGCAATCAAGCAATGATGGTATTCAAGTTTTTCCTGAACTGACTTGATGCTTTAGCACTATTGTGCCTGAGCTTCATATCTGATGGGCAAAATTATACTTCTTACCATGCCAAGATGACAGAAATGTCAAACAACAATGAGAAGCCATTACTAATCTCATCTTCAGGAGCTCAACAGTTCTGTAAATCACACATCTGGAGAAAGCATGGTAGCAACTTGCATGGGAACACTACGTAGTGCCTCATCACCCATCTACAGCCAAATTATGACAAGAACCTCCAGTGTAACACTGAAGGGGAGCAGCATGCTGAATCTTTCCATTTTAATGGACAGTGGAGTGCCAGCTATAATTCAGCTCTACAGTTTTGCAAAAAATACACAAGAACCATAACAATTTACAAAAAAGGTTAACAGCTCAGCCCCTTCACACAACAAAGGGAATGCCCCAGAACATAGCCAACAGCTGTGGAAAGCCTTTTAATTCTGGTAAACTCTTCCTCTCCATGCCTCTCCATGCCCCCTCCCCCCAAAAAAATGTAATGAAAATGAATTTTTTAATTACTTCAATTTGCTGGATGAGCATAACAGAACTCAAGTCCTAGCCCTAGTTATTCATGTTCCCATCCTTGTTCTAAAGCAACTCTGGCAACAGAACTGAAAGTTACTGGCTCTTTAACTTCCCCCTTCAAGTCTTACCTTCACTACTGGAATGTGAAGTAATTCTCCAGGAAACTTTGACAACTGCACAACTTTTACAACCACACTTAGACACACATATTAAATAAAAATGCAAAATCAATACATATTAATTAACATATACAAATAGTCTTTGGGCTTTAGGTGATACTTTCTTGAGAAATGGATTTCAAACGAGCTCTCTTCTATGTCTGCTAAGAAGACTGTTTCATCCTGCAAGAGATCTGTATTTATTCATATCTGCAATGGTTTAATTTTGCCACTTTAAAAGAATCTTGGCTTTCGTCATCAAAACCCTCCAACTGCCACTATTACTACTACATCCCTATGCAGAAGATTGGTTGCTATAGGGTTTTTGTTTTGCTTTAGTAAGCATTTTCTTATAATTTTAGGAAGAGTTTTCCCATTCCATCCTAACAACAAACATCCTTTTGGGGGAAATCATTCTTCAACAAAATAGGCAGAAGTACGAACATTTTTAACATCTGTGAAATTCAAGTTTCTTTAGAAAAAGCAGTGAATAACACTATTGCTCTTGCCATACAAGATAAGGAGAAATCAGAACAGTATTCCTGTGAATAGCTTTGTAATACTTATGCACCTGACTGTTGAGAAATTACAGGATGTACATATGTCCTGTGGGCAAGCCAAAAAGAACCGTCTTGATTAAAAGATGTATTTAAGTATTCATTAGCTGACCAAACTGTTGCAACATTAAAAGTTCAGTTTCTTGTGTCTACATCAACTTGAAAGAACTTATCATCAAGGTCATGAGAACTAAATGAAGATGAAGAAAAATAAAGCATCCTCTTTTAAGGAATTATCAAACAAAATCCCTGACAATTCAATTCCTTACCCTAGCAAATACTTTTTATGACAACTAAACCCACATTATTTTATGCTTGCTAACTGTCATTTTTGTTTCCTAACTCTGTTTTGTTATAATCTTCCTTAGACTACTTTCTTCATCTCTAGAGAGTATTTAGCCAAATCAAGCAAGCCAACTGCCATCAGCATCAGTAACAAAAGCAGGTTGTTGTACAGCAGTCAAAAAAGCTCCGAATACCTAATCTTCTGCATCCATCTAGTTTCTTTGGCTATATAGGTAGTAATGTTTACAAAACCACCTTGACTTTGTGTGCTAGAGATAATAATCTACTTTGTAAAATAAAAAGTAAAAGTATAAAAGTTTTCAATCACATTTGGAAATTATAGCATACATAAAAAGATCAAAATCCAATATATACAATACAAAAATACTTTTTTTTTTTTTTAAGAAAGTTATAATACATGGCTATAATACACAGCATGTTGAGCCGTCAGTCACAGCTACAGTATTTGCAGATGTTTGTTCCACACTATGGCTGGACTCTGGGTATGATATCTCCCTGGGGAAATTCCTCAATTTCAGCATGAAACATCAGTTCTAAAAGAGAAAGAGAAGAATTACCTTTTCTTTTAAAAGTTTCAATTGAATACAATTTTATTATCCCTGAAAAGTGCTCTGGCATTTCCCCAAGCCACCTGCTTTTCTTCCCAATCATAATATCAACAACTTAGCAATATCAAGGGACAACACTGATTTGAGAAAACTATTGTTGCCTTGCAAAATTAACAGAAATAGTGATGATGTTAGCAGCTGATTATATGCAGTATCATTCTGCATTCAACCTGGACGCTGAAACAGAAATCTGAAAGTAGATTGAGGGATTGTTAAAAGTTTTGAGAGTGTCAGACTCTCAAGATCTCTGTTTAGAGACCCATTCATTTACGGATGTATCTGCTCTATGTATCACAGTGTAAGTTAGCAACATTAGAACCTGGGATAGAAAGAATCACGAGTGATATTGCTGAAAGCTAGCTGTCACCACAGCAGCTCAGGCATGGGAGACAGCCTAAGGTCAGCAGTGAAGAAGCTCTTTGCAGAGAAATTCAGCTAGGCACACGAAACAGCTGATGAGGTAGCCCTTGTGAAGCTCTGTGCTGCTTCTTGTAAAGATACACAACCTGTACATGCAACAGTGTGGTTTATCCATTTAAGTTTGAGATTCACGTGTTTTTGCTACATTATCCTTAGTAGACTAAACTTTCTCTACTATTTGGGATAATTCCTAACAGAATTTCTCTCTTGAAATTTCTGAAGCAAGTTTTCTAATCTTAGTAGGCACATGTAAATATCAAAAAAGCTCATCAAAACCCAAGTTAAATCCTGCCACTGGCTTCCTTATTATTTAAAAAATAGTCTTCAAATGCAATTTAAACATCTATTATAAATTTTACTTTCAAAGATTGTAAAGGCTGCCACCTAGCTTTTTTTTAAACTCATTGAGCTATTGGAAATAAGCAGAGTAGCTGGGGCCAGCTGAAATACAGAAATTAAAATTCTGAAGAAGCATGTTGAATCTTCTTCAGCCTCCCAAGCACAAATCTGTGCTTTGACTCATGATGCTCTTTGGATACCTGTTGAATTGTAAGTTGAAACTTATGATTTTTATGTACAGCACAGCTTCAAGTCACAGGCTGCATGCACTTGATAAGAAAGCTGAATTATGATACACGTTTTCGATCCCAGTTGGAACAACAAAAGGAAGGCCTAGTCTCTAACAAAAGTTCTTCTAAGAAAAGGGGACATCTTGCTTTCCCCCTCCTCCAGCCTGGACTAACACAAGCAGTCCTCGTTTGAAGTCCTGTTCTGAAATCTGACTTTTTTAAAGCTTGGGAGTTCCAAAAACTACTGTAATGTTCTACTGAAAATAATACTGAACTCAAAATGCATTCAGCATTTGCAAAGGGAACATTAATAACATTCAGGAATTTTCTAAAACATGAACAGAATAAATAAATTTCAAATATTCAAAATGCTGTTAAAAATAAATATTATTTTTCCCTTCAATGAACGAAAGACATGCTCTCTCATGTTTCAAAATTCATGTGGCTTCAGCCAGGACAAAGAAGATTTATCTATCCTTTTTAAATTACTGTTTTTCTTTAGAAGACCAAACACAGACACCAGCATCCTAAGAAACACTTGCTTTGGAAAGCTGCTAGCAGATGCTTGTTTTTCCTCAGCCACAAAATTTCTCAGGACTAGTCTTAAACACCGAATGCAGAGCACAGCGGATAAAAGTCCAAACAAACAACATTTTGCCTATTAATGTTTCCTACCTTCACTGTGGTCTAGCTCTGGTCGATAAGACAAGAAGATCCAACTTGCCCCAACTAGAATAGACACTACCAGATTCACCACAATCCATGGCTGAACAATTTCTTCCTCTGTACCTGCCACCCTGGGAAAAGCACGTCAAACAGTCAGTCAGGGGTTCACTGGTACATACAGGTTACAATAATTTCAACAGAGTATCATAAAAACAACCTTGCTAAACCAGATGTGAAAAGAGAACTACTTGTACCATCCTGATGGCCTTGCACTGCAAAGGTCTGGTAAAGAGAGTGACTACCAAAGACAGAGGCTCAGCTAAGAAACCCCATTATCTCACAGAGAATGTCCACTCGTAGATTTCAACAGCAAATTCCTTTTCTTGGCCAAGAGACAGAAAATAAAAATCAAAATGCATGGTCAGATTTTACCGTGGTGAAAAAAACCGCACAGTGTCATCAGTCAGTCTTATTTTTAAGCAATTCCTCATGAGGCAGCAAGGCAAGTGGAACAGCACGTCAGTAAAGTCTGTCTGGAAGCCAGTGCAAGGACTTGTGTACAGACACTGCGGGGTAGATGAGGTAGGGCTTTAAAAAGGTTATGATTTAAGTTAGCTGACACTTTTCTTACTTTCATAACAGCCGCAGGTTGTGGTCTTGTTACTAGAATCTAGGCTTTTTAATAAACAACTCAACAAACATTTATAGAAGCCCTGAAAAAACCCCGAAGTTATCTAACTGCCCAAACCAGCAAATTTTCATCTAAATGCCTTTGTTCTACTTCTGTTTTCAGCTACTGGAGTTTAAGTCCATTTCATAAAGTAACAGGCTTGGATGGGATCTCCTAGCATGAAACAATGCTTCATATTTAATGCCAGCTGTGTCTGCTAAGCCCTTGCATCCTGTGGCAGACATACCACTTCTTTGTAATGCCATGGCATTAATTTCTTGGACAGATTAAGCCATCTCCTTCAAAAAAAGTGTTGCATCTCTACAGAACATCCTGCCCTTGAACACAAAAGGGTTACCTCAGCAGGGTCCCATTTCTACAGCAAAACAGATTCTTAAGGTTCCTGCCAGACAACATTTTCAGCATCATTCCAACAAGCTTTTATTTGAAATATAGTGGTTTACACCCAGCATGACCGAACCCATCCTCGAGTTCTCATTTTTCAGTGAAATTATCAAAGATTCAGGAAAAACTCAGACAAAGGCAGGTTTAGTAATGAAATCCTTCATTAATACTTTCTCATGTATGCTGTATAACCTTTTCAATCCACCAGTTTGACTAAGGTTCCTAAGTGGGCTACGTTATAATTTACAGAAGTGATTTCTTAAGTTTCCTACCAGATGCTGCCATTTTCCAAAGGTGGTGTGTAGAGATTTATTCTGTCACATGTCATCTGCTGGCTTAAGGATAAGATAAGAGCAGCAAAGTACACTGGAAGAAATGGAATTAGTAGTGTCAGATACAAACCCCTCAAAATGCTGTCTCATCATGACATGATAATTATCACTACTTTTTATTTCCTTTCACTCCACTGCCTCCAATGATAGTCTCCTTTAATTCATGCTCTCTTCTTCAACATTCCCCTGACCCATCAAAATCTTGTTTCTCCACTTTTGCAATTGATCAGCTACATCAAAGGTGGCATCTTTTGATTCTGGTTTTTGCTAGGTCTGTGTTCTGTATTCAGAAGTGGGAAAAGAACCATCTCACTAATACCTCTACTAATGCTTTATTGCATTATTGCAAATGTTTTAAAAAATACATAGCACAGTGTTCATAGCCTTTGAATACTATTTTCAACTACTTAGCAAGTCATTTATTCTAAAGCAGAAAACAACCAGGGAGGAAGATTTCACTGAAAACTGTATGTAGGATTTCTCCATTTACTGTCTTTTCTGGACAACTTCCTATCCGCTTCAGAATACTTACAGAAAGAGGCTACTGCTGCTGGGTCTAGGGTAAGAAAGCCCCGCAGTGCAACCGATGCTTTTGCCAAATCAATCCTGATTACAAAAACAAGAGTCATTAACACAGCCCAATAAGATAATATTGTTCCTCTAACAGTATTCTACTGTTCTTTTACTTTTTGCAAGATAGCTTTTTCTGCCTCTGTTACAGTGCCTTAGTACACAACTATATTCCACACACAAGCCACTATCCTCATTATGCCAAATCCAAGAAAGATTGAAATGAAGGAGGATGTTCCATGACGTTTGTAGCTTTCACACTGCAGTCCTTTCTGGAACAGGGAGAATGTGGAGAGATCAATTCGCTCTGTAAACCTTACCATTCGTTTTAATGTCCACACCACCAAGTTATGACAATATAACTGCACTAGTACAGGAGCAATTAGGAATAACTTGGGCCTCCTCCCTGCCACCACTCGATGAAAAGAAGTCACAATTTCTTGCCCAGAACAGCCCAGAACCCTGGCTTACCATGCTGCTGTGGAAACTACCCATTACTAAAAGAAAGTCTATGAATCTACTCTGTTTATGGTCTTTTCTGCTCCTCTTTCTGTTCATTCCCACTCTTAAGCTGTAATACAGAAACGCCAGCTAAGACAAGAAAACTGATTACGCAGCCTTGTTGCAGACCTGACTGGGGAACGGATTCACATGAAAAGTAACCTGACAGAAACACTAGTTGTTCTCTACCACCTCTCTCCCCCGCATAAAAAAAAAACAGGTCAGCTCTCCCATTTGGTTCACCTCATGATGACACAAACACCACCAGCACATTAAAGCAAGGCTGCAGGCAATGGACAGAAATGAGTAACAAACGTCTGAATGCACAAGTACCGCCTTCATCTGCATAGCCAGCCATGTGTAAAATCATTCTCTTAAGTACATCACATTAAATCATCAACAGCAGATCAAAATGTGCCAAGAGGAAGGAGAAAGGAACGTATTGCACACAAATTATGTACACCTTTCAAATACAAGCATATCTTACCTGTCAAAGGCTGAGACTGTACTGATAGACAGTAACAAATAGAACAAACTTTGAGCTGGGTATGCTAGTGTCTTATACTGCTGGAGCAGATTAGAAACCATGGACAGTTGATTTCCTGCCAAAATGTAGATAACAATGATGTTCCATACCGCATACCCAGCAAGGAAGCCATGGGTAAAGAGTCCGATTACCCTGAATGGAAGAAAGAACATAAGACAAGTTTAACACCTCGAATTAGTGAAGAACTACAGATAGAAAAGGCCTATGAGTCCACCTGTTCAATCCTGCTGCTGTGACAGGATCCCAGCCTTACACAGATTAAGAATTCTAAGCAGTGTGACTTCTGCTTTCTCCCTTGACAGACTGCACCAGTACCTGAGCGCTCAACAAAGAAAACCGAGATGTTTTGCCTGATCCTATCACTACTTCACTTCATTACTGCTTCTAGAATCAAATACTTTAACTCGCCACACTCTCTCATTTTGCCTGTAGCTTCCCAAGACCAGTGCCCCTTACACTTACACAATGCTCTTAAGCTTGTCCTCAAATCAGTCTTTTCATTATCTTCCTTGCTAAGAAAAAGCTGAGAAGGAAGCGCAGGCTTCCAGATAAAGTACACCAGAGAAGACAATGGCTGTCATCTTCCCATTCTGTATCACAATACAACCACATATTAAACAGAAAAAAAAAAAAATTATTTTTTCTGTTGTGTGCAAGCTTACACCCCAGTCCAGTTTCATTCCTCCCTCTTTTTCACCAACCAGGATTTTTCTTTGAGAATTATCTGAATTCAGGTATTTTCATTCTGGTCATATTATAGCTGATGGCCAAATCTCATTTTATAACACTTTCTTTCTGTAGTTCTCTAGTATTTTTATTACCAGATCAATCTCTTGCTATTCAGATTTTGTCTGAATCTTTGCAATATGAGTTCCTTAGTTATCTTCTTATAAGTTGCATTTCACAGGTGAAGTCTAGACCAGAAATAGATATTCTTGACAACAAGTACCAAAACCTAGGGGATTGAGAAGCTTTATACCCGTTGCATCCTGAACCACCATTTATTAGGAATATCCAAAAGAAATAAAGATACATCACAATGATAGAGAAAAGGTGCTAACTTTCAGGGAGAAGAAAAAAAAACAAACCTGACTTCTGCTTATTTACATTAAAATATTTATCTTTCACCTGAAACTTCGGTGCACCGAGAGGGCGACATCTCTGGTAGTCCATGAAGCCTTTACATCCATAAGTACATTGATATTTTCAGTGGTTTTAATCAATTCTGCACGGTCAGCTGCCTGAAAACGCCCTGAAAGGATTAGGAAATTAGTTTTAGAGAGTGCTGTTACCTTCCATCATCATTTCTACATTAATACTTATTAGCGTTAAAAAGCTGTAAGCATTGAAAGTTCTATCAGAATTTTTTTTCTCCACCCTTCCTGCCCTTTGTCAGCCTACATTCGTATCAGGATGACTCAGTCAGTGTGATGCATCCTGGTGGGTCAGGCTATGGATTTAAGAATGTGCAGAGCTCCTTGGGTAATTAATCAGTGTGTTCCCTGGTACAAAAAAAAACCACCAAGAAACAAACAACCCCAAAAAATTCCACTTGAAAGATTTTTTGCAATATAGTAAATGATACTTTCTTCTCAAGGTACTGTGACAGTATTAGGTCAAATAAGCTCAGTCAGGTACTATCAAACAGCCTTTTCCATCCACACCAGGGAATTAAAAAATTCAATCAAACATGCCAGCACAGCAACACTAACATTCACAGTTGAAAAATTATAATGTATATTTATTTCCAGTAATTTTTGTGCTGGAAAACTTCTTTTTCTTTAATTCTTCCCAGTAGTGCAGCATTTGTATTTTACATACAATAATGCTTCCTTTAGTTGCAAGAATGTCCTTAAATTACTTAAATCACAAGATGTACTTACGATTTTTTTCAACAAACACTTTGCTAACAGGTTGGCTAATTCCAGTGGGAGCAGCAAACACAGGCTGCTGATCTGGGCTCTTTCTGTGCTCGTCTTCAATGATGTCTTCTTCCTCCACTTCCAGCTCACTGGAACAGTGTGTTTCAGCTGGCCGAGGTTTCCTATCAGCACAGAACATACAATGGGGCAGAGAAAGAACAGGGAGTTAAATGTAAAAGCTGAAGGCTCCTATGAACATTTAACATGTCTGACTTGACTGATAAGAACCGATCAGGCCTGTACAATATTACCTACCATTTATAATTTTAAGGACTAAAGTTCTTACGGAGTTAGTTAACTAAAACCTTAAAGCTAATCCTTGATTTGGGGGGTTTTCTCTCTATATAAATTCCTTCTTGTGTCAAATCACTAAGGCAGGAAGAAATACTTACCAAGAAATTAACAATTAAAAGAAAAAAATATACAAACTAAATACAAGGCCAAGGAAGTGGATGCTTTTGGTAGAGAGGGAACTAAAATGATTTAAAGGCATAGTTCTTTGAGAAAAGGCAAATAAAATGGATGAGAAAGCAGTTAAGTTTCTCAGAAAAAGATAGTAAGAATGAAAGAAAGCAGTTCTGATTGTCTCATGTATGTGACTGAAATATTAAGTTCACGTAAACTTATTCAGAACTGTAATGCATCCAGGTATCCATAAAACAAACAAGTGAAGAAAGCTAGACATTAACCCTGGAAAGAACTGCACAGATGCTATTTATCACACAAGCTGAATGGTATTGTGGGCTTCAAGATTTTAACATCTTTGTAATGTAACAATGTAAAATGCTACTCAGCCACATTCACTATCACAGTTATTCTGAATTACGAGCTATACTAGTTTTGTCTCACTTTGTTCTTTTTCTCTGTTTGCGGATCACTGTTTCTTCAGCTTCAGGGACATCCATGCCATTTCCATTCTGAAATAAGGATGCGACATTTTGCTGGGTAAAAGAGGTCTCAGAATCTGAAGATTTAAAAAAAACCACATGAAAGTTTCACAGCTTTCATAAAAACAGAAATACATTAAGTGCATGCATAAATAGATAGTACATAAACACAGTGGCAAAAAAAGTTATGCTCTTCTGAGCTTTGAATTATATAAATAATCTATTTTATCACTTCCACTTTATTCAGTGCTCTTTCCAAACTACAATTCTTTCACATACCGGTTGGTATTTTCTTCTTCTTGCGTTTCCTCTGAGGAGGGACATCATGAAGTTCAGGAGTTAGGGGCTCACTGCTTTCAGACTGCCGACGAACAGCTGCTTGGACAATGCCACCTGAAAAACAGATTAAAAGATCCAGCAACCTTAGTTCAGAGCCACTGAGAAACAGGCAAGAAAAAGCTGGCATTTGCTATATTGTGCAGAGCCGCTGAGAAACAGGCAAGAAAAAGCTGGCATTTGCTATATTGTGCAGAAGGTCTGTATTTGGTCAGCTTATGGCTGAGATGAAAACGTATTGGCTAGAAAATATAAGAATTGGGGAACAAATGCGGTAAGTAAGAGCAAACAAGGTGATAACTAACAACCCTCCTTTCACCCTGACAGTTTCATGCCCAGGAGAAAATTTACGTATCCAAGAAGCAGCACAGTTCCCATTTGGGCGTACAACAGAGGACTGACTGAAAGGAACCTACCCCAGGAAAGAACTATACATCTGTATTTTTCCTTTCTACATGCAAAGATTATAATGTAAGGCACAAGAAAAATTAACGGTTTGTTACAAGCTGACTCACACAGATAGGTGCTAAAGCAAAACAGCGTAATATCAAAGGGAAATTTAAATGCTAAACAAACACCACAAGAATAAAGGAGGAGCAGAATAAAACAACACTGAAGGATGTTTACTCAAGTCTGAGAGATTAATTGTGATGCTTTGGAGGAACTACATTTCCATGAGAAGTTAGTATGAATTCATCAAATACTCTAGCAGGAGTAGCATTAATTTGCATGATTAGAAGTAGAAAGACGAAGCTACTTCTCCATTTTACATCACATCTGCTTTTTTATAGGTCTTTCAAGTACTGCAGTTTTTATGATAACTGAATCTATCTTTGTTTTCAGTTCTAGCACAGGTTTTCCCACCTTTTAGAAAGGTTTTCTGTGCCAAAATACAGAATTAACCAGCAAAGTAATGGCCAAAGCCAAGTTGTACTTTGCACCATCATTCAGCTCACTGAAAACAACAGTAAACAAAACTTGATCCTTGGGAAACCCTGTTAGCAACAGCTCTACTTGTTGCATTTAAAGGTCTTTCAGTGAGCCCTCAATTGTACACTCTTTTAAGCAAATAAAGGCGGTTTACTAATCAAAGCATCATACAGTCCCAAGTCAACTGGTTTACAGAAATCCACCAGATTCTATCAACACATTCTGCTTTATCAAAATAGATCAGACTTGTAATCTTGCTTAAAATCATGTTCGTTCTGCAGATCCATTTTTTGTAAAACTACAAAGCTCTGGTGTTTACCATACTTCAGGCTCTTAACTCTTTGATGGTAATGGAATGATTGAATTGTGACTTTATTTGGCCAAGGACTGAAATTGAGCCAATTTGTTAAATGAGTTTTATCTTAGTTCATTCAAAAATCCAAGCACTTGAACACATTCAACATAACAATGTTCAGTGTCAAGACATCCTGTATTAGCAGAGCCGGGAATGGATCTAGAGAGAAAGAGCAGAGGATGGAACAGCTTACTTCAAATAGCATTACAGACTTGTTCTAAAATGACACCACTTTGGGAAAAAGATTGCAGTTGTTCAATACAAAATCAATTGTAATGACTTAGTTGAGAACACTATTCAAAAACAGTATGAGACTGAAAACTGTGTATCTGTCAGGAGCTTGGCTACAGCACAGAGTCTCATCCAGGATTACAAACACAGTTTCCAGTCTTGGCCAAGATCTTACCTAAAGGAGTCTTTCCTTTGGGCTTTCTTTTTTTGGGACGACTGAGCGGAATTTCATCTGCAGAACATAAACCAGAAGTATAGGTGCACAGCATGGAGCTCCATTTCCTTTTAACAGCCACTCTGTTGCTAGTTAGCACTTTTTACAAGAGAAGACATCCTCCACCTTTTACAGATAAGGTGACAAGTCACAATTCACACATGCAGGAGTAGTACAGAAGATGTCAGGAAAACGGGATAGAAAATCTGTCTTAAGTGCAACAGAGGCTAAATACGCACATGCATATGTGTTACGTGAAAAACTGAAATACTCTGAATAATGCTCTGAAGAATAAACTTCTTGTTTAGAGCACAGTGACAACATTCCCGTTGATACCCCTTGATTCGATATGGAATATAGCAAACAGTAAAGAGAACAAAGAAAAACAGCAGACAGTTCTAGCAACAGCATTGCAGGTATCCATGCAGTTTAAATAATCAGCCTGCATTTAGGAAAAGCATAAGGCCCTATCTTTAAAGAGAGGATGAAGTGATGCCAAAATGTTTATAATTCTCTTTAATGCCAGAAGAACTCACCTTGGTTTCCACTTAACATTTAAGGAGAAAACAGAAGTGTAAAAGGAACAAAGATGAAAAGAAAATTAGTTTTGAATCAATTACAATTCACAACAGTGAAATTCATGCTGCTACTTTTGTGATTAATTTCCTTATCCCCGCTCCTAGTTCCCTTTATGAGCAGTTGTGTACAACAGGGTTAAGGGTACGAAGCAGTTGTCAAGACTCAAACCTTAGTTAGCGACTATGTGCAGTTTCTTGATTGGCTAGCTGTGGATCAGATTAAAAGCTTTAATCACCCGGCTAATTAAAACTTGTCTTACTACCTGATATGTAACAAACCAACAAAAGTTATGAAACATCTGAGTGCATACATTACTAAAAACTCACTATCATTATGTCATCCATCAATCATGAATGTCGCATTTGCTTTTAGGTACTTTGAAGGAATTCTGAAGTTCCATGTCATAAAAACTATAACTGCCTTTCCTTCCACACTGCTCACTAGGGGATTGAAAAAAAAGCCCAAAATTATTATTACTGTATTATTAATATTTATTATTTAATGTTATATTTATAATTATTATTACTCTATTATGCCAAAACGGTATACGCCTATATACCTATTCAAGAATATCTAGTCTAATTTCAGAAATTCCTGGTTTGCTTCAACTACACTAAAGAACAGGAACCAAAACAAAGAGGGAAGGAAGAGATTGAAAAGAGGGACATCAATAAAACTGAAGTACATCTTAATAAAACCAAAGTAGCTATTTGTCTGAAACTTTTTAAAGGGGTTTATCTCTCAGAGTATTAAAACTGAGGTAATGCAGTAAAATTTCTTGGCCTCTATAAAACTTTAAAAAGCTTTGCATTCCTTGTAAGGGGTTCTGGGACAACAAATTAGTGAGAAAGGCAAATATTTTTAAAGCTGGTATGACTACTCAGATACTTATTTCTCTTAATTTCATGACTTTTAAGAACACTGCAGTACAGAACCACAGTCAATTCCATGGAATGAACTGATCTTACCTTGGCACTGGAGGGAGGGCACGAGGCGGGCACTGAAAGACAAGACAAGGACAAGTCAACTTCTCCTCTCTTCCGAGCGCCTGTTAAACCACTTCACAGAAAACAGCTATTTCCAGACACGGTAAGAACACGCTAAATATGTTTTGTTTCATACCCCTCTTAAGTAGCGAGAGACTCCTGATGAAGATGTTACATAAAATTGCTCAAGCATAACCCAGAAATAATATGTTTTTGCCAGAGTTCTGATGGGCATTGCATTAGGGACATGTACTGAACAGCTCTGTGTGAGGCGCAGCCTGCATTTCAAGTTCACTTGAATCATTTTCACTTCTCATGTAAGGTACTGCTTTCCTTGGGGAGCCTATCAGTCATTCTATTTAAATATCAAAATACTGCAATAATTTATGCGTTCAATATACTTGCACAGTATATAGCGTGAGCTGAGTATTTTCTATTCATGAAGTTGTGAATTCAGAACAATATTAAGTAAAAGCAATAAAAAGGAAATAAGCTTATTTATGAAAAATACTTTAAAATATCGTAAAATACTAATTTTCATATAATTTTGAAAACATTTACCAGCAGGTCAAACACAACTAAAATCTAAAAGTGAGTATCTTCCATTAACAATCTGGAACTGAGCTCTTGCACTTTCTTTCGTCTAGAAAAAGGAAGGCAGTTTTTGTATTATATTGAAAGAGTACACAGGAATAAATATTTCCCATTGTCCAAAGATTCAGCTGATATCAAAAATAAGACTGGTAAGACTCAAGGCTCCACAAACTTACCACTTGTTTCTTTCCCATATCATTTGAAGCTGTTCCCTGAAAGAGGCACTGTGAACTGTTCTGCACTCCCTCACGCTGCTCACGCTGAACCTCAGCTAATTCTGAACTAAAAATAGGCTTCTAGCAGCCAGGATTAGCTGGACGTGAACCTTCCCGCCCCTGGGTTAGGGCCCAGTACTACTCCTGTTTGAAACAAAAGCAGTTCATTCTGTGACAGCAAATGTTACTTGCACTGAAAAAAACCCCATATCTCCATATGCTGGTATGGGCTCCAGTGAGCAAGTTTTGCTTCGTTTGGTTTACCCAAACCAAATGAGACACCTTGTGCAAGGGAGGGTTTGCAGGATTAGGCCTCAAATCGCTCATCTGGATTTTGGTTGACATGCATGGCCAAGGCTGACTGCGAGCGCCATTTACACAGAGAACAAGCACACCCTGAGCAGCACCCAGCAAACTGGTCAGGACTGGTCACACCACACGGGTGCACAGTAAGGGAGAAAAAATACCGATAAAGGTCAGGGCTCATTACTTGCAGCATTTTACTCATTCCTGTGGCAGTAATTAGTTAGAATAGCTGACAGTTTAGGATAGTTGATGTTTTAAAAAACTAAAATCTAAAAAAGCCCCCTAAAACCAAACAAAAGCTTTTATACAGCATTCACTGCCTGTGCAGTTGTACATCTGTGTTCCATAGTACCACTCTATTTTGTTACCTTTCATGAAACAACCAAAAAGCAAATTAATTTATGTATCATTTATTCCTTGCAACAAAGCAAATCACATTAAGCATGCAGGGGTGAACACTTATCTGTCCCATCTGTATTAAAGTCCCTGACTCTGACATACAATTACGAGCTTTAGTTTCCAGTTTCTCTGAAGGAACTCGCTCCCCATAGAAAGGGGGAGTCTGGCCACAGGCTTCCAGGGACATTTTGTTTGACAGAAGAGCTGCTGAGCGCTAACGTAGCCATGGTGCCCCTGAAGGCAAGAGACTCCCACAAACCAGTAGCTTCATAGAATCATAGAATGTTTTGGGTTGGAAGGGACCCCTAGAGGTCATCTAGTCCAACCCCCCCACAGGAGCAGGGACACTGCTAACTAGATCAAGTTGCTCAGAGCCCCATCCAACCTGGCCTTGAATGCTTCCAGGGATGGGGCCTCCACTATCTCTCTGGG